TTTATTACTCTCCTAACCTGCTTACAAGCAAGTAAAATTCACAGAAATCAATTGCAAAACTTTCCTGTCCCATTGGTTTTAATCATGATTTGTACTGCTCATGTGACTTGCTCAATGCTTTTAGATAATTTGAGGCAATATAAAACACAGAATAGGGAATGGTTAATTTTATTCTAAAATGATTAAATAAGAGAAGATAGTCTCTAAACATTTTTTTAAAATGCAATATCACAGTTACTGCTTTCTGCAAAAAGATTTGGTAGAAAACAATAGCAGGTTTTTTTCAAAAAAACCCTTAAAGATCTTATTTCACTGTTTGGTTTGTTTTTTTTTTCCAGATGGATCAAAAATTTAACTGTTGCTTACAATTAATCCACATGATACTTTAAAACATTGAAATATTGTGATTCTGAACACAAAAGGCATGAATATATACACGTATAATACATTAATAAAGCACATTAAATGTGCTTTATATGTCCATCTCCCTTGAGAAGAATCTTGGGGGTTTTAATTAAAAAAAGGGGAAGAAAAAAGCTGTAATACTAGAGAACCAGTTTTAACACCATGCCATACATGCAAGTAGTATTTCTACCTTCTTTTCATTAATGAAGACAGCTATTGCACTAGATATTGAGCCAAATTACTTATTGGAGGGGTAAGTGGGTGTGTTCACATATTCAGATTCTGTAAGACATCAAATCTCAGAGTGAAAGCTTCCACAAAAAAAGGATCACAGACCAGATCCTCTGTGTGTGAATCTAGAAATTTACCAATAAAAGCATTTGGCAGACTTCAGCTATAAGAGCAGTACATGAAAGAGTTCATCTGGCAAGAGCCACGTCCTAAGGCTAGCAGTATTAACTTAAGTCAGTCCCATGAACTATAGCTGTAACTCACACAGGAAAGCAGCATGGACAAAAGTAACAAACCTAGTGACATGCAAACCATGGCACAACACACACGAACATTCGTTAAAACTGCAAAAACCTCAACGTTTCAGGAAAAAAAAAACCCAGAAATTCAGGTCATCATTACAACATAAATTCAGGCCCCATATGTGAACTTGCCAGAAAATTAAACTGTGTGATCAAAGGAGCTTTTGTTTTGTTTAAAGGAAACGTGACTACTGCTTATCTCATACAAGCGCTGTAAAACCAGGTGAGAACTTATACCTAAAGATGTGTTCCATCCTATGCCTAAATTAAGATACAATCAGACCTAAATCTCAGCTGGGAGACAAGAAGGAACAATGTCTTAAACCAACCCATGTCTGTACAGAAGAGAGCACTCTCTGCTCTCTCTGCATGTGGAGTCAAAATTACCTAGCTTAAAACTGGTGGAGGAATGGCCTTTTGCTCCCTAGGACTTCTAAACAAGCAGCCAGGAGGGTGACCTATTTAGACAGTCCAGGCTTGGAAACAAGCACAAGCCTGTCATTGCAAACATTCATTATTAGCCTCTATGCTATTAGACATAAGAGATGACAAATCTAAGATGCTTTCAATGGTCTGCTCTGAGATGGAAACCAGGGAGGAAGACAGTGATCTAGGAGAGGGGCTGTGCTTAAAAACCTGCTTTGTGAATCAGGGCACCAGAAATCAGTATGAAAATGTCTGCCTCCCCTACAACCGATAATGGTGAGTGCTTTCGTACATTTCTGCAGAGTATTTTGCAGGCAGGCCCAGGCTTGCTTTGCTCATGATCCAAGCCAGGGCAGACCCAGGCTGGCTCTGAACCAGAAGACATGCAGCTAGGCTGGAACAGTGCTGAGTCTGAAGTAAAACACCCCTGTCCCTTCCCTTAGCACAACTCATTAACTTGGACCCAGAACTGCACACCACTGTGGTTCAGATTGGGCTTGTGTCCACCTGATATGCTAGCAAAGATCCGAGGCCCCCAGAAGCAATCCTCTACTGCTTGCCTGCCACATCACTAGCTCTATGCAGCACTAGAATCACACTGACTTAAAAATGCTAAATTAAATTAATTGCCAACAGAACTCAGTTACAGAGTCCAAGAGGAAATAAATTAATGACTTTCTCTGTTGATTATGATCACAGTTCTGGCACACTTTCGTAATGAAATTAAGCAAACATTAACTTCTGCAGGGTCAGACATTCTTACAGCTGCTAATTCTGTTTTTCTTGTGATGTGTTTTGCTCCTGGTAGACTCAAACAGTTGTACTGAGCAACATTAATACTGTTCTGTATGCTGAAATTAATACAATATTAAGTGAAAACATTGTTCTGTATTATTATAAATAGATTCTGATAGAACTCGCTAGAAAGAATTTGGTTTTAAAACAGAAGAAATAAGTGACTCAAAAATCCCATTGAAGATGTTAAAAGCAACTTTAGGGGTAATTTTGAACTAAGTGGACTTGTTCTGAAAATGTTAAAGTCTTGACTTTTGACAATCATTTTGTTTCAAGAAGGCAAAAACATCTGTAGAAGCTAAATTCTGCATTCTTACTGATGGAAAAGTGGTCATTTATTTTTGAAATAACATTTCCATAGAAATGTTTAAATTGTTCCCAGAAGAACACAAGCAGGGTGACACTGGTTCAGGCTAGTGACCGATTTAATGAAACCTGTTGATGGGGAAAGCAAGTTCATGAGTAATTCATTTTGTCTTGTCTTACAAGGGCACTACTGGCATTGCCAAAACAGAAGATTTAATGGCATGGGGTTCACATGTTGCTCAAAATACAAAGAATTTGAAGACAAAGAGAGCAAAGGAGCTTGCCAATTTTATTGTGCACCTCTAAATGAATAAGTTTTAAAAACTGATCAAATCAGGATGTTTTCCTAAGGACAAGGCATGACCCTAGCATTATACTTACTGGCAAATTTAAACATCTTGAGTCAAATTCCTGAAATAATAAAAAGTTGGACAAACTTCTGAAAAATAGGGCCAAATTCTTTTTGTTGAAACCACTTCTCAAGACATCAGTACGATATCTTAAGGAGACTTGAATTTCAGAAGCTTTATAAGATCAAACCTGCAATTTCTAGGGGTTGGGGGGGGAAGGTGGAAAACCATACCATTTAATAATAACAATAGTAACTATAATATTCAATAATATCACTAATAACTATACAGCTAGGAACACCGTTTAGATTTTACATAATTTAATTAAAGAAATGTCAAAACACTGGCTTCTACTTTAAAATACTGCCTTGTGTGGTACATTAAAAATAACAGAAGTGCATTTTTTCCTTTCATTTTTAAGCAGCCTAATGAGAAAATTATCTTTCATTAGGTGTGATAAATACAAGGGCAAACTGCAAGTTATATAAATGGATTCCCTCTGTCTTCATACATTCAGATCAAAATTTTCTGAAAGATACACTTCAGCAAACCAAGTTAACAGACTCAGTAGATGGTTAATCAGCTAAGATTTAATGTTCTATGATATCAGGAGTGGGGAATCAAGATACCCAATGTTCACTTCCAGTCTTAACCAATAACCTACATAAAGCTGAATTATATATGTAGGAACTATAGTCACGTGTTTGGTAACAAGAGCTAAATATTAATAATTTATCCTTCTTATAATTAAAAAAGTCTTGTCATCATCTAAATTTGGGTTAAGGTTCCAAACATGGGTCTAGTTATCTTTTTCTGTGAGAGATTTGGGCATTGTCTGGCACCTGATACATTTCTTCTCACAGAGGTAATTCCCATTATAATCAATTCACTTCTCAGAACTTATTGGTTTTCTTTGCTTTTTTAATAAAAAAGGCATTTTAAATAGGTTTAATTCCAGCCTTGAAAAACATCACTGTAGCTAGCTGTCATAAAAGCATGGACATTAGAATTATGCGCAGTACCAGTCACACCTATGCTGCATACTCTATATACTCTGTATTACTTACTACTACATTCTTTCAAAGATCACTTCAAGCTGCTTGCCGCTGTATCACTCAGATGATCACTCAGCCTATTAACAAACCACCAGGTCCTTTTCAAAAATTACTATTTTCCTGTTGGCATGTACTACATTATTTGTTCCTATATGTATGACCTTGCACATGGTTGCATGAGAATGATTTTTTTTTTTTTTAGAGAACAGTCTATAAAATGCTGTGAGAAGACTGCTCTTTGACATAGAACCGACATAGTGATATCCAATATTTTTCTGAGCAATGATTTTGCATTTACTCCTAAGTCTAATGAAACTGTCAAATGGCACCAGACTTACTACCACCTTCCATAAAATGCCACAGGAACTGCTTTTCTAGATCTATTATTAAATTCTTAATCCCTTTGACTTATGCCATCATGATGCTGCCCAGTGCTAATTTTTAGTTAGACTGCAGGTCACAACTTCTAGTAGCATGTGAGTTGCATCTAACCAGTTACTTTTATTATTACATGTGATTTTATTTGTATAAGATCTATTTGCTACAACACAATCTTAATATAAATTCTTTAGAAATTAAGTAACTATTATACATATACACTACAGAAATCTGTAGCTAGCTAGAAGAGTTCAATAATATTTCTGTGGTTCCTAATCTAGCAACGTGCTGGTAAGTCCCGATCACCTTTCAGCCTTTCAAGGAAGCTGTATCATGAATGTGTATTCATGGATCAAGCATTGCTACCTATTACTTTAATAACTCACCCATAACTCTGTTATGCTAAACTTTTCAAGACGTTCAGAATAATCATTGACTCAGAATAAACAATCTCAGCCTGACCAAGAACCCATTGGTATCACTGAAGTCTTTCACAATTACTCAGGTGGCCTTTGGAACAGATCCACTCTCATCAGATTGTTGACAAAATGATGGTTGTTGGAAAATATCGATTTCAAAAGTTACAAGCTGTCCCGGTGCACAGAAAGTATGGGATTAAGGAAAGATGACTGTGGTGAGTATCAGTGTGTGCAGAAAGGGAAAATAATTTGATATTATCTGCACTATAAATTTATATATAAGCCCATATGGAACAGGAATAAAATGAAAGAACCTCAATCAATCATCCTTACCGATTCAACGCAAAAGCATAATGAAATTTAATGTTGTGTTGATCAGCCAGATCACAGGTAGGAAGCATTTCTAGTGTTTCTACCAGCTTCACCATAGCATCATAGTCCTGGTAAAAAAAAAAAGTTAAAAAAAAAAGAAAGTGAAAGCAGAGGAAAGCATCTCTAAACTAAAATGTATCATGACTGCTAGACAGTATCTCAGGTGTCTGTTCCTAGAAGAGTCAGTGAAACAGCCACAAACTCTGTGGAAGGAATTAAACAGAGATTTTGTTTATGCGTGTCAGTAATTGCCTCTTCCTCACCTCAATGTCACTGGCCAAATTACTGAATCCTGCTGGCCAGTTTCATCAATTACACTCCCAGCACCAGGAAGAAGGGGTGAGTCTGGCTCTTTCAGGCCTTATTAAGGATTTCTGATGGTGACCTTCATCAGGTCATCGCAGACTCAAGCATAGTTCATTCTGCAGTATGTCAGCTGGTTGTACATTCATTTTGGTTTCTCAGGGGTAACCTGCATATACATTGCTGAAGAGGCCAGTTTACTGACATTGCAAATGGCCTCACATTACTTAATTTATTCAAAACATGTTTCGAGATTATTACATTTCTCAAGGGAGAAGACCTTTCAAAAGAATGCAAATGATCACCAGAGGCGATCAAAATGAAGTTGGATAAAGCGCTGCAGGAAAATATGCATCTCAGAATGGAAAGTCGGGTAATGCAGGATGATGTGGTCACCGACTGCTCTCACAACCCATTTATACGTATGAAATAACCAACTTAGCTCCTGATGGAAAAAAATTTCCATAGAATGGTTGGAAGTATATTTTAAAAGGGATGTCAAACACACAGACTGTCAGTTTGGAAACACAGTATGCAGGCTGCGTTTTAGCAAAAGCAGAAGTTATTTAAAAAATAAAAGCAAGAAAAAAAGGTGCAGTTATATTTTAAAAACAAATTAATGTTTCTTTGAATGATCGTTCTCAACTTGGGTACCTCTGGCCAATACAATGGTCGCAACAAATGCATTTTCATTTATAAGTATATCTGACTTCGGGGGCAAGGGAGGAAATGGAGGGAAGGGAAAAGCAAACATCTTGCTTTGGTAGGGAAGTTTTTCTTTTAATTTTTTTTTTTTAAGGAGGTTAAAAATTACTAAAAACAAAGGAGGAGACCTCAGGAAGTCACCTAATCTGTGTCTCTTGTTCAGAGGCAAAACAAATAAGAGTCTAAAGCCCCTTAAGTTGCCCAACAAACAAGTCAAACTGTTAAACAATGTAACAATTTATCATCTGCTTTGAATCACTGTCTAACAAACAATGAAGTATAGAAGAACAAGCAAGAGCCAAAATCCCATGGTAAATTAATCATCCTTAGTGTTTAGAAACATACCTGAATATCTCTGTAAGAAAGAAGCAGGTTTATGACAATGTCAGAAGTCAGCACTTCAGTATTATCCATACGAAGCTTAATTCTGGCCAGCTCCTTAGCCAGTTCATCTCCTTGATACTTCTCTCTAGCTTTTCTAATATCATTTAGCATTGTTTCTTTATAATAGGCACTAAAGAAATAGAAGATAGACATATGGGAAGATGACTATTAGATACTTCTTATGAAGCATGGTTATATTTCTAGTAAAAAGCATAATTTCTAATAAAAAGTAACATTTCCTCAGTGAGGTGCACATCAAATGTTTCCACATTTTTCATTAACTCATTATAAATATTCCACCTTGCCCCACCTCAGACGGTGGGGCTATGTATCAATACATTTATAACCAGGATTGTGAGATAATTTTTTATCAACACAGTAAAACTGGGGCATTTCTTTGCCCCATTACTGACCCTGACAGATGTGGTACTTTGTATCCCAAAGGCGGCAGCAATTGGGATAATAAAGTGACACAGAGATGAAAGACCAGCATGATGTAAAAAGGAGGTACATGATTTTATCATGAAAGGAGGAAAGAGGCTTTCAAACAAAGAAACTAAAACAAAAACAAGCCACCAAAAGCTGATTTAGTTGCAATCTGTTTGATGAACATAATGTGGGCAAGATCTATGTAAAAGCCCCCAGTAAGTGCATCTTATTTACGCTAATATCAGTGCACAATGCAACACCAGAGCTTTTGTAGAATACAAAATCATATATACATTATCAGTATGTCAGTTATAAATGACCTGGACAGGATACTTAGAGGTAACTTTATCTGCAGCAGCTTATGGAGCCTATAGTTTGGAAGTTAGCAGATGTCACCTGACAGATACCCAAGTGCATACAATGCCTTTTTTGTTTACAAATGAGTATTGCAAAGTATTCAACTTTGCTTAGCATAAGCTCTACACATAGCAAAGAAAACCAAGTTGTCTGTCTAATACACATTTATAACTTACATATAATGTGTAAGATACGTTGATAATGCAAAGCAGCAAGGTCACAGTAAGCACTGTTGGAAAGCTTTTAATAGTTGTTTTACTGTCAGTGGAGGTTAGGCTAATTCACCATGGACTTCCAATCTCAGGCTTCTATCCAGCATCATCTCCTACCAGGCTAATGATAATTAGCCCTTCTTGTGCGAACCAAACCAAAGTGGGATACTGGGTAATGCTTTTCAAAAGTATCCAAATGACATAGGAATGGGAGTCTCACTTTCAAGAATGATGCAACACTTAACCTCTTCAAACTTATTCAAGCTTTTGGCAGGAATGAGGGATCATCTAGCTACATCTTCCTCTTCACAGGGATCTACCACAACAGTGTGTAATTCTGCAGCTGTACAAAAGCCTCTTTCAGGCACTTGAGCCTGAAAATGGGAAAGAGAAAAGAGGCTTTACTGTAGGACTTCACAACACAACTATCAAACCCAAATCACCTGCAACCCTGGTCATAAATGTCAGAGACGAACTATACAGGTAGCTTTGGACAGCTGGTGCCCAGAGCACCATTTCACAATGACACAAAAGCTAAACAGTACTAAAATTTACTACTACCAGGGCCAACTGTGCTACTAGTTTCATGAATCAGCACTGCTGAGCACAGCTCTCCTGTATGCTGACCAACTTTACTGAGTTTTTGCCCCTCCTCTTGTCCCTTTCCTCAAAATGGGCCTGTATTGCCTGCATGTAGCCTCCCCTCTAGCACTGTTTTGGAGGAGCAGGAAGCAGCCTGTGCTTCTTCAGGCCAGCAATATCCTAGTCGCTGCCCAGCAAGGTGCCAGAGAACAGCACACCTGCCATGGGTGGAAGTGTAAGGGACAAGGTGTGTGTGGGCAGGGTTATCTATGGGATCCTAAGTGTGGGACCAGGAGAGAAAAGGTTTTTAGGCAAGCCTTTCACTTGGGTGGGATGGCAATGGGGAAAGAGAAAGAAATCCGAGGGCCCTCATTGCTACCTCATGCTTCAGACACTAGGAAAAAGAAAACCTTGAAGCTCAGTCTCTCCCAGTGTTTTCCAGAAATACAAACAAAACCAGACTAGCTGCAGGGTACAGGGTGAACAATCAAGAAAGAGAGACTTCCATCTGCAGCCCCAATCTGCAAAATTCCAACAGTCCCTTGTAGAAGTGGCTAAACAGTATCATGTTTATTAGGTGATATCAGAAGGCTAATATTAAAAAAAAAAAAAAACCAAACCAACCCAAACCCAAAACCTAAAAACCTTTTGGTTTTTAACAAACCATGGAAGTTATATTTGATTGCCCATTGCTGCCATATATGTACACTTACTTGGTGACAGAAAAGGACAGTCTTTGGCTTTGAGCTCTATGAAGAGGCTGCGATATTATCTCCTATTACAACCTTATGCACTGTAATTTATACTTAAGCACTTTACCTTACCCATGGACCGTCTTTGCTTACTGATATTTCAGAAAGTAACCATAAATCAATTTCTAGGATAACAGGGTTAGTTAACTGCAACAGCTGCAGGACATCGATACAGAAAGCAGTAAAGTTAGCAGCTTCTTTTAACACTATATTAAGTGCAGTGAAAAACAAAAAATAAATTAAAAAAAAAGTCAATGCTACTAGAGATTTTGCCTCTTTTTTCATAAGATTAAAAAGAGACTATCGCAGGTTCTGGAGGTGTATGTGTTGTAAAATTACCATGATGTAACATGAACATCCTTCAGAAGGCTGATAAACTTGTCCACCAGTGGGACACAAAATGGCCCCAGGATATTGTCCCAGCTGGGTTGCATATACTCAGAAGCTCTTCGTTGGGCGTCACTTTCACAGCAAAAGTAGTCAGCACAAGGTGTGACGATGTATGGAATAAAATAATAATTGCCACTGGAAGCCTAAAAGAAAAACAGGCACAGTTCAGAAAACAAATGAAAGTGGAAATATGCTTGTGTATACACAGAATCTTTTACTGTCAGAAAAAAACCAGCTAGATTAGGGCTGATGCACTGTGATGCTTTAGCACACTGTTTAACACAAGATTTGCAAGCATTAAATTCAAGGACTTTTCTGTGGAAGAGTTACAAGTATTAACAAGGGTGATGAATAAGGGTCCAGATCTGTTAAGTGACAGTACAATGAAACTGTTTAATTTTCTTATGTGACGCATGGACCCTAAAACGGTCTGACAGTTACAAGGTAACCTTCTGCTTCCAAATTTTTGGGGTCAGAGATGTACTTGCATCGTCTAGGCTCACTCAGTGCTAGGAAGGATATGATGCATAGCTCCCCACAAAGAGCGAGAGAAATACAGAAACACAGGCATTGGAAGGACTTTATGGAGATGTTTAATCTAGAGGAGCCTACAAAACGTCTGCTGCTATCAAACACCAAAAAAACCAACCAAACTTTGAAATGTTGTGTAATATATGTAAGACTTAACACAAAATTCTAGCAGTAAAACCCAAAAATCCTTAATATGCCACATAAGAAGTGTAAACATGATCAAGGTGCTGAAAGGGAAGAGGGAATGAATGGGAATGGATGAATGAAAGGGAACAGGAAATGCCCTTCAGAGCCCAAGACCCGCAAGTTCAAAGTCTTCAGGTCCTGAGCAAGACCCAAACACCAGAAAACTGCAAAGTTTTCCACAGCTACTAGAAGCACCAGTATCCCATTTTGAGCTACGAAAATTCTCTGCTGTTTAAAAGAAAAGTAAACTTTGCATTTCAGAGCAACTAGATAGGAGCACTGAAGCATGGGTCAGTATGATACATCTGACACAATCAACTACCAGTAAATACCCTTCAACCGCCACCATGGGGATATCAAGCCATCAAACACATACAGCAAAATCATACCTTTCATTTTTTCATATCATCTAAGCCTGCAGTAAAGCTGTAGCCATTTAAAGTCACCTTGAACAATGGGAGAATGCTGAGATATGATAGAAAGAATGGATATGAAGATGGCACATTTTTATATGCATTAATAAACTAGACAAGAGAAATAAACCATTCACAGGAAGTAACAGCGTAGGGCATGCAGTTACTAAACATACAGATGGGAAAAAAACCCTGCATCAGTACATGCTGTTGCTGATCTGAGTCCGTAAGGATTTAGAATTATAAACTAATACCAGATACAGATCAAGCCATGTTCCTTCCTCATAAACCCTACAGTACAGTATCTCTGTTGTAACAACATAATTTATCTGTTGCAATGTTACCTTTACTTCCTACTAAAAAAGTCAGAAAAATTGCAACCCAAACCACCAGTATGTAAAAATAATTGAGTCTCAGGTTTATTCAAACAAACACTGAGTTCGCTGCAACACAAAAGCTGCTTATATATAAACTGTATTCTTAAACTCATAACAGTGAATTAGCTCTTCCTGCAATAGGGGGAAAAAAAAAAAATCCAACTTGAAAGTATGATGTATATTGTGATGCAAAGAGACCTGCAGTTATCTACTGAAAAAGCAAAGCAATTTTCAGAGAATTAAATGACACGCATGAAACACTGTGCTAATCTTATTCAGCCAACTTCTCATCTATTTGGCTTGGATTTCTTGCCTCTTTTTGGATAGTGAAATCTATGCAATTAAAACCACATTTTTATCCATGACAGACACAGTTTTGTGTGCAGAAGTCAGGAACCCTGCACATATTTGAGCACATCACCTTGTCTGAAAAGCAACCAGCTCCAATTTTCTAGCTTCTTCCATCCGATATTTACATATAATAAATTATAAAGTGCCTTCATATAGAGTATGTGGCCTTTCCAAGAGGGTTTTCTTATCTTCATTATGTAAAAAAAAAAAAAAAGTTCTGTCCATCTACTTTTCTTGCGCTATCAAGGGTTAGAGATGGCTGAAAATATCATCCTTGCTTCTTCTGATCGTCTACTCAGGATGCTGGTCTCTGACAACAAAAGCTAATCATACACTAGAATTAAAGGGTTTGGGGTTTTGGTTTTTTGGTTTGTGAGTTTGGTTTTGGGTTGGTTTTTTTTTTTTTCAAATAAATAGTGTTGAGTAAAATTTCTGCATTTTTAGTGAGGGAACTATGCCTGCACAGCTAATAGCACAATTATTTCACTTGAGCCATGCAGTTCATTTTGCCTCCTACTCAAGCATCAAGAGCATTAGGAGTGCTTACCCTACCTTACAAAGCAGTTAGAAGGAAAACACATAGGATAACAGAAAATGAACTGCATTCACTTAAAGAAGTCACAAACTTTCGAGTGTTCAGGGAGTTTAATCCAACTGTTGTCTTAAGAATTAAGGTTTTCATAGTAGTTTTCTGTGACATCACAGTCCTATCCATCTTGTGATACAGGTGACTAAGATACCTCTTCCAAAGTTGAATATATGCAGTATTTATACCTAAAGACTGTGAAGAGAGATTATCACAATCCAAACATTCTAAATGCTTGGGATCTAGCTTGTAAGGAACGAGTATTCCAAGTTTACAATCACTTTGAAGGAAAGACCCTGCCAAGCACTATACTTAAAGTACCCTTATACATTTTTAAATGCCTAGAAACACAGTAATGAAATGGCATATCTATTCAACAGAAAGCAGATTTAAAGTGATACATACTTTGCCTATCAGATTACCACTGTGGTATTCAGGAGGTACTTGAACCCGAAGAAAAGCTTTGTGGTTGGCAACCTACTCCAAGTTGAAATAAAACAACAAAGAGAAAAACACCACCACAAAACAGCATAAGAATCAAAAAGACAGACATGACACATGAATAGAGAAATTATTAAAGAAAGAAACAACAGAAAGTGAATATAAATATTTATAGTAAATCCATATTTACAAGTCCAAGAAAACAACGCAATACTTTGCCACTCAGAATGTAAGATTTCTCTAACACGATTTGTCTACACATCTGCTTATGTCATCAAGATGCTTTCAAGTCTTACTTTTATGAACCGATCAGATTCACTACCTGATTAGCTATCTATAATCCAACCACCACAAATACACATCCCTTGAGATAGTAACATTTCCATAAAAACTAACTTTCATAAATAAATTTTAAAAGCCTTAGTTCTCATTATATCAACAGTAGCATATTTCATTATTAGAAACATTAGAAGTAATATTTACTGGGTTACCCATTGCCTTTGTACTATTCTCCCCCCAAAAGGAAAAATGATTGTCTGTATTTAAGACACTCCTCCTACCCTTTCATCCTGTGCCCTTTTAATACTTCTGCTGCCTTAGGCTTCTTTAGAAATATGTCATTAAATGACCATATCATACAAACTTTTATATATTGTAAAAATAATCAGAAAATAAAAAATAGAAAGCTACTCTGCAATACTACTACTTCAGATTATTAAATTCATACTTTAGAGTCTTGGCTCTCATTTCAATCCTTTGGGACTACTAAATTGGAGAATATGAGTCCAAGTGCCAAAATCTTTCTATTTAGTTTTCTTAAATGTTCATTGCCTTGAAACAGTTGATACAGTCTAATTTATACAGCTACTGAAATTCTGAAGAGACTTTCTGCCAATTACAATAAAAAGTGATTTTTCAACATAAAAGTTCCTCATGGCAAGGATAAGTTGTAATTCTGTTCCCTTTAGATCAAGAAGAATTTTTGCTAATGAATCCTCCATGGCCCAGACATTATTCTCTGCTTACTGTAAGAGCTGCTACAGGATTTAATGAAAAAAACCCATTTAAATCTCTGACAATACTTCATCAGGCCCACAGGCCTAGGTATACTGTAATAAACCTTTTGGTTTAATAGCCAGTTTGCTTTCCTTTAAATACCTTCCCTGAAAGCAATTAACAGGGTTATTCAAATTTCTTCAGGCATACCATCGACTAAAGAAAAATTAACAATATATTAAGTCTTTCTCCTTATATTCTGTACTTTCCATAATAATTTTTCCGGAGTGGGAAGTTCTAATTTGTATTTTCAATGCCACATTCAAACAAACTGAATGGATCAAAGTATGTTTCTCAAACCACGTGCAACCAATGCTAGAACTATTGCTAGAAGGACTGTACATTTTGCTTCCTGACTCCAGCAGTTTTTAAAAAGCCCCTTGCACACTCTTTTCTTCACTAAATCTTGGACTTTTTGTAGAAAGTAGAAAATTCTGTAGAGGGAGAGGAAATTTCCCTATTGAAAAAAAATAATCAAGCATAGCAACAAAATGTTGCATCAAAATAGAACAGATTCCCCATGGATTTTGGCTGTTACATTGGTTTGGGGGAAGATTTTTTTTTTTAATCATTTCTTGCTTTCAAAAAGCCTTGAAATTTCATTTCTCCAGTAAACCAATGTTTATCCAACATCTAAAGAAGCTCCAAAGCACAAGCCCATTTTCCATAGACAAATTTATTTTCCTGTACCCTACAGTCCAGTAGCATCCACTGTGCTCTCAAACATTGATTTTTCCATAATGACATGGGAAAAACTGTTCTGCAAGACTGCATGTTTGCAATTTATTTTATCAATGATAATTTTGACAGAAACTAGGAAGCTGTGCATACATTCTCAGAAAAATTAACAGAAAATAGTCATCAAAACTCAGAGGAGCTCTGCAGAAGGAAACCTAACTGATGGGACACAGCATCTTGGCCTTGAATTTCATGCCAGGGCAATTTCTTCTTGGGAACTGAACTCCAATAGCCAATAATTCTTTCCTTTTGTATCCAAGTATGCAATAAATTATCAATACAGAATTTTAATTGCTTGTTTGGGGGAGTCAAGTAGAACTGAATCACATTCCCCATCTTATCTTATCCCTGAAAACGTCATTCCTGGATGGAGGAGGGAAGAAAGGAAGGAAGTTCTCCTACTCTTACACTCTTTTTTCAGACAGTAAGCTATTAAATCTCACAGACTCACATCACCGCAGCAAGCTGCTGTATAATTTTCACTGTTAGATCAGCTGTACTCAGGCCAAACCTGAAATGAATTGCTGACTTTTTTTCTATGCATTGTTTTCAGCTTCATGTCCAGTTTACTTGCTCTTGCCTCCTCCTTGATGCTGAATTTTAATAAGGTTTTCTTTACAAGGAAAACATCCATTTTCTTCAAGGCTTACTTGTAATACACAAAAGAAAATTACCCCAGACGGCACTCTAAACATTCATCTTCTCCGCATCTTTAACATGGCTCCACATCCGTTCCATGCTGATTTTTTTGCACCTCTGTATGACTTGAGATTTACAGGATAAATAGCAAAGATGAGGGCAGGGAAGCCTCAGAGAAAGCGCCAAGCTACAGCAGTCAGCATAGAAAGTTTCACTTGTGCTGCTGCAAAAATTGTGTGCTGTGCCTGGTAGCAATCTCAGCTGTCGCCCTTCCCTTATACACAGCGCAGATGGGTGGACACAGAGCTTCTAAGACACAGAGAGCACTTCTCTTCATAAGACCAGCAATGGTATTCCTGTGGCTACCTCTGGGTTGGAAGAATGCTTAGCAGATCAAGCATCTATCCTCTTTCCAACATGTCTCCAGACCCTAATGATGAGTGCATTTAAGCTCTTTCTGCTACTCCATAGCTATGGCAGAGGCATACCCACACTTTTCAATCAGGAAAAGTGAAAGAAAACCACAAAACCCTAGTACAGGAGTATTAACTATTGTATCTAATACTCAGCATTTAAACTGAAATGGTTATGTAACTACATACTTGACTGGACACAGTAAATTAACACCGATTCTGTACCTACCTAACTAGCAGGGCAACCCTCATTATCAATTAACTTCAAACAAGACATTGCCCATTTGGTTGTAAAATATTTAACCAAGCAATGAAACAGTGGCATCATACTGGGCCAGCAGCAAACTGCAAGCCTCTCATGACAACTCACTGGATCTGAAAGGAGGGGAAAGCAACTGTCTATTTGAAATCAACTCCAACTTAGAAAAACATGAAGTTTTAGCCTATTAACTATTTATCTTGCTAATTAGTTTGTTGTAATTTCTGATTAAAAAAATGATAAAAGAATACAATATGGGAGCACATTTATCCAATAAAAGAGAATATGAACAACCAAATAACACAAAAGGATCAAGAATCCATATTTGGTATTTAAAGTAATTTATTTTTTCCTCACTGTATTTTGCTCACAATTGTTTTCTTAATTTAAGCACCTGAACAAAGTGGGTTAGGCAATCCCTCCTTCTTAAAGGAGGGATCAGGATCCTAGTTGCAGGATGCCTCCCTGCCCCTTTTGCTAGCCACATGGTGTTTATAGGTCTTACAGCAGGGCCTGCTGTAGTAACCATGTCACCAGATCCATCTTTTCTTTTCTTCCACGTGAAGGTAAATACCTCCCTCTGTGGGAGAAAGAATCTGCCAAAAGAAAAGTTTGCAGGCTGCTAGTCTGATCGCACTAGGCTGAACTTGCCACTGTCCTCTTTGCCTTTACTCCATTCCTGGAATTACCACCAAATGGCTCAGTCACAATTCTCCCCCTTGCTCTGGAGGGGAAAACACACGCTTGTGACACTTTGAACATCCACCAGTTGATGGATAGTAGCATTCACAAGCAAATCTGCCTCACTCTGAGGCCCCCCTTCCCAGAAGTACAGACCAGTAAATGCAGTTCACACACCACAGGTGAAACTAGTTCAAAGATCACCAAGACAGACAGGAAGATGACCTGGATTTACTCATGTGCTCAACCTGACCTATCTTCAGACTACATGCAGTGCTGTGGTCAAGCATAAACAGCAGCTCAAAATAAACTAATGCATTATTTCTTCTAGTCCGCTCTTAAATTATTAGCACTCTAAGAACATTTTATTATTTTAGTCCTGCTCTATATTCTTCAGAAGGAAATAAAAGTATATGGTGAATGGGGGAAACAGATGTGAATAAATGGAAGTTTAAGATTTTTGCAAATTCAATAGTCCTCAAAATAACAGTGTAGAGTGTTTAATGAAAATAATCACTGACATGATGTGAAGTCTGACAAAATATATAACTGTGTAAGATATTGTGGCACATTGCAATAAACCTAAAATAACCACTAAATTTTATCTTGGTTCAGCCTTACTTCTTTGGTTTTACTTGCATTAAGGGTAAGCATATTTTTACTTCAGAAAATAAGCTTTTGCATTCCTAAGTAAAATCTGTGAATCTGTGAGGAAGAGAATAGGTATACAGTAGCCAAAGATACTTGTTTGAGATACAAGAGTAAGCCCTATTAAGGCATCACACACACATGTACATTTGCACAAATGGGTGAAAGTCGTAGAGGGAGAAAGAGACTTTGAATTTCTGAGTTTATATTTTGATCTATCAACCTACATATACAACATACATCTACTGGCACTTTTCTAGAATTTAAAAAGGAACTTCCAAAGAAAAGTAATTTTTTAATCTAGTTTTACTTTGGAAAGGAAGTCAACAAGATTTCCACTAGTTTGAATTCTATATAGGTAAAACAGACTTCCTTCAATCATATAGAGCACATACATGCTTGGCAGCTTTGTTATTAGAGTTGCTTCAAATGTAGTATCCTCATTTTGTGTTTTAAACTGAATGTGGATTTAATACTTACTGTGTTTTTCTGAGATACCATATCCTGGGGGAAAAAAAAGAGAATAAAAAAGTTTATTAATTCTTACTGGGAATTATTATTTCCAATAAAATTAACAGGGATACTTATATTTACCTATATATATACACACACACACACAGATGTGTTCTTCACAGCAAATTTCCTGCCACAGCAAATTCCAAGTAAAGGGACAGAACAACATCAAGAAAAGTCTTAGTAGTTCAGGTTAGGAAAAAATTAACAATTCAAAGAAGAAACCTGTTTAAAGAAGTGCTCAGAAGATGAAGAAAGTTGTACTTGCCAGTAACTGGAGTTTCTCAGGCTGGGCACTCCACATACCCAGTCACACTCTGGGCATTTGTGAGACAAAAGCATTCAAAGCTGGAAGGGTTTTTTTCTCTGGAAGAGTATCCTTAAGATACCTAGGCTTCTTTCCTACCTGGATGGGCACAGACCAACACACTCCTCCTACACCCTAATTCTTCTCACCTCAAAATCTAAAGAGAGGTATTGAAACTATGAGGCAGATGATAAACTAATGGGCATGTAAACCAGACCTCAAAGATTTCCAGTTGCTGGTAAGTAACCTCCTCCTCCTTCTAGTGATGGTTTACATGTCCAATGAACACTGCTTGGTGAAACTAAACAGATCTCCAGGTAAGCCACGGTACAAATGTTAGATATAGACTTGTTTCTAAGCAAGGTTATTGATATAATTCAATTGTATGTGCTCTGATAACCTAAGATGATTCTGCTTGAGCAACTTCACATCTGACAGCCTGAAATACACTTTGACAACCACTGCACAGAAATGATCGTGCCTATGCACCCTTTTCCTCAACGGCAGACAAAATGTCAGGGGCCATCTAAGAGGTTTAGTTCTGCAAATATGACCCTCTTGAAATCCAGATCACATATTCTTTTATATGCTTGGAACTACGTTGTTTTGGAAAGAACATTGGTGAAACTGAAGAGACAACTCTTGGAAGAATTTCAGGATGGGTCCTGAGAAACAAGCTGTAGAAAGTCAGGCTGCCTGACTTCACTGATCTTCCCAGTAGAAGTAATAGCAGTCATGAATACTACCTTTATAACACTTAGGCTAGCCACTCTTAAGAGGCATGCACAGCAACCTAGATCCAAGTAAAGTAATACATTCCTGAAGGGAAGGGAAAAAACCTCACCAAATTAGTCATAAACTTGAGAATAAAGAAACATGAGCAGATAGTCAAAAATACATATTAAGGCATCAAAACCTAAATAGAATTACTGATTAACTTGAACTCCTTAAGCCCAATAAAACACCTCAGAACAAAAGTGATGGAAGACTTAGACATCTGAAATATCACATATCTGAAAATTAATACATCTACCTAGCTAAGCAGGTATCTCCAATAGGGCTTTACCTACTGCAGATAAAGATCTTTCTCAGCAGTGAAAAACGAACTCTTCTGAGAACTATCCAGCACCTATGCCATGAAATGTGTCATGAACTGTTCTTCACTGAAAGACCCAAGAACAATCCCTGTCTACCTTCCGAAGTATTCCTAAGAAAGGTGTATTAGCATATTTGAGTGGTATCCAACACTGAACTGGGGCTCAGTTGCAGAAAAGGTATCAAGGACATGAGGGTAGGACCATGTCCCAGTGCCCTGCTTAAACTACTCTAGCTGTTGATCCAGAGGATCTCTTCTACTTGGTTCCAGCAACTTAAATCAAGCCTTCTGATCCCACAGTAAGATATGCTAGGGGTCTATGTAGGCCAAGGAGGTTATGCAAACAACTGGGAGACGAGGAAGAGATCAGTGACACTTGACAGGGTTCCTAGCAGAAGAGAGATGAAGGCAGATAATAGCTTTTCTAGCCTTAAGTGACCCAGTCATGTTCTAGTGTTCCCAGGTCCCCAGACTCGTCCTTGAGCTTTACACCCTTAGAAAAAAAGCCCCAGAACTGACAGTGCAAAGACTTGCATGTTCTGGCAACAACCAATCTGAAGATCCAACCCATGGATGGATGTAACCCTGGAGGCCATTCAGCACTCCAGTTATGGAGCAGGTGGTTGCGTATGTGCTTGGCACAAAGTGCCGAAATCTAAGCCATCCACAGAGGTCCTCACCACGCAGAGACAAATAGAAGATGACTAGCCGGTGCTTCCCAAACTTTGGCACATCCTTGGGAGAACCAGGTTGATCAGAATATCTGAGTGACAGCATAGAAGAAACATAAAAATCATAGAATCATAGAATCGTTTAGGTTGGAAAAGACCTTTAAGATCATCCAGTCCAACCATTAACCTTCACTACCAAGTCCACACTAAACCAATCAAGGGTAGACTAGACTAAACCATGTCCCAATGTGCCACATCTACCCATTTTTTGAACACTTCCAGGGATGGGGACTCCACCACCTCTCTGGGCAGCCTGTTCCAATGCTTGACTACCCTTTCCGTGAAGAAATTTTTCCTAATATCCAACCTAAACCTCCCCTGGCGCAGCGAGACCATTTCCTCTCGTCCTATCACTAACTACCTGGGAGAAGAGACCAACACCCACCTCACTACAACCTCCTTTCAGGTAGCTGTAGAGAGCGATAAGGTCTCCCCTCAGCCTCCTGTTCTCCAGACTAAACAACCCCAGTTCCCTCAGCCACTCCTCATAAGGCCTGTGCTCCAGACCCTTCACCAGCTTCATTGCCCTTCTCTGAACACGCTCCAGCACCCTCAATGTCTTTCTTGTATTGAATGTGTTAATGAAAAATAAAAACGAAAGATCTCTTTGCAATCAGGTATATTACCAATGCAGGATGAAAAGTTGTATGCCTGCCCACCCAGATTAGCTAGAGGAATGGAGGGCATGCAAGTATGCCTTACAGCATATCCGTATGGATGACCTCTTTGAGCAAAGAGCGTGAGAGGCTCCAACTCCAAGTTCTTGTGACTCCAGGTCACATGGAATGTGAATGTGTATGTGGACCACCACCTGAAGAAAGGAAGTGTGGGATACTAGACACATCAGGGTAAAATCAATGACCATGGGAGCAGAGAAGAGGAAAAAGCAGCTGTGACAGAACAGAGCTTTTCTGGGAAGAGAGAAGACAACTCATACAAAATTAGGATTAAACTTAATATTCTTACAGGATCAAGAGAGGTTGGAGAATTCCAAAAAGGATTTTTGGACATTGGTGGTGTGAAAAATATAAAGTAGTAAGGAATAAGGAAAAAAACACAAAGCATGAACAACACTGCTCTCAGTGAAGGTAGCAAGAAAATGGATATTATTAAAAGCAGCAGTAGGTGATGATACAGAGGATAAAAGTCTAAATGTGATCTAAAACAAAGAGAATCTGCACTGAGAAAGACAGAAACATCCACAATATATGACTTGCATCCAGAACAGTGATTTCAGGACTTAAGTGTATAGCATGTATTATCCTACTATAAAAATGAACAACAGGCCTATAAAAAGATTTGGTGAGGATCTTTTTATCTTCAAACAGCAACAAAAAGGAGATTCCTGTAATCTTAGCTACTCAGCACCTAGGAGATATAAACCTCATCTGACAGAAGTGCTTCAATAGTAGAAGTAGGTAGCAATACAGCCCTTGTTCAAGTGTCATTATACAGGCCATAACATTTTTTTACATGTACTCTAATTAAAAGAGGAAAAAGAATGATAAAATCAGGCCTGCACTCTCACTTCCAAGTCTACCTGAAACAAAATCTGTACCAAACTATGGATCTTTTCTTATAAATAAGCTTTTATACTATTCTATTCATTACTATTTTTGCTAGCAGCTGTTTTTCTTAGCATGATTTGTTTATGTAGCTATCAGGGAATCCCATTCAATGGAAGTTTCAGAAAAACACAAACATTTGCAGGATCAGGTATTTAAATGTATTTCTGAAATGAAGCAGATTTTGAAGCGAGAACCTTACTTTGAGAGACTGAGCAGTGTCAGCATCAGTGTCATGGTACAGTATAACATTATTAGCCATGTCAAAGCTTTCACGCACGCCAAGGTGGTAGAACAGGGATGGTTGCTTGGAAATATCACTCATGTCCACAACTGCAACATCTGAAATGAGAGAGGGAGGGGGGAAAGTGCTAAAAAAATAATCATCTTAAAACCAATTTTATTCTTACACAGGACTTAAAATAAATCCTGAAATTACACATACATTTGGACAGACAAAATCAATATATTCAAATCAGGATCATTTTCTCATGGTACAATTAAATTTTACCATTCATATAAAATATAAGAACCTACTCATGAAATTATCACAATGTACAGTAACTGGGAGGCAGAGTTTATGAATTCTGCTTGAGGTTTTGTAATCACTGCATCAGGAATACCACGGGTGAAGAAGCAGTTCTGCATTTGTTCTCTGAACTAGGCCCAACAGCCTGAACACCCACTAGGATGGAAAGCTCCAAACCTTCTGGTGGAACTTCTAAGAACAATAATGTAGCAGAAAATTAGGAAAAACTGCAAGACCAAGTTTATCTTAAGAGGCTGAGGTTTGGACAACAGTAAATTCCTAAACAGTAGAAAAATAAATGACTGTGAAAGTTGATTCTTAAAAGCTACAGGCAAGATGTTCAAAACGGGGGGTGCAGGAATGAGGGGATTCAACAGCAAGTAGCCAGAGCAAGACTTCCACTGCTCTTGGGTAGTATTCCAGTCAGAAATGGAAGTAAAACAATTTACATCAGTAGAAAATGACCTATACAGAGAGCTGAAGTGAAATACCCCATGTTATGCAGAACAGCAGAGATACAGGCAAAAGATTCTGAGTTCACCATTTGGTTCTCATGTAAGGCCAGTACAGAGAGAAGGGTTAACTGCAGAAGAGGACACTTAACGCTGCGTTTTTTTCTTTGATCTTTATATCCTCTATGCTACCTAAGAAAATTTTGCTTTAAAGCTTTTTAAAGGTCTGTATCTATATGTCTGTCTACTTGCACCGCTATGGGATAGATGGAATAACTTAAATCCAAAGTATTCATAAGACTAGAGCCTTGGCATTCAAACCACAGGGGAGGTGTGGTTCTGAGGTTCAAAACAGATTCCAGAGACTCAGTGCAGCTGGGTAGTAAATCCTGCATCTCTGAAGGGGTAACAGACAGTGTCTGTACCTACGGAGAATGACAGAGAAGGGCGAGCTACTAGTAAACAAGAAATCTAAAAGCAGGTCTGATGTATAAGAGGCAAATACAGTATCCAGTTTACCTGGGCTTCACTGAGGTTACACATCACAAGAATTAATACCCCATACTTCGTATCCAAGTTCTTGGAAAAGCCTGCAATGAATATACACTCCTGTACAATTCCTTCAGGCTATGCTAACACACCACACTGGGGTCAGCCAGTCCCTCTGGTTACTAACAGACTCCCTGTTAAAGCACAAGGAACGTTTTGAGTCCAAAGACAATGGCCTGCCTTAAGACCAAAACATCACCATTCAAAAGAAAAAAAACCCCCAAAACCCAACAAAACAAACAGACAACACAAAAATCCAAACACAAAATCATGGCAACATGAGAAAATCCCCTTGTTCCTGTGGAACCTCAAATCCTGCACCATCTACTGATGATCTTTCCAGTTCCTGTTTAGCCGGCTCTGTACAGCATGGACAAAATTCTTAATATACTGCACACTGTAGGGTCACACAAACTGAGTGGGCTTGAAGCAGCAAACCCCAGCTCCATAAACACATATAGATTACCCAACATTACAAAATCATTTTGGAAAACATAAGTGATCTATAAAACAAAATTTAAGACAAACTAACAAGCAGACCTAGAATCAAGGAAAAAAAGAATCTAGGAAAAAAAAAAAAGATTATGTCTAAGAGCTTGGACTCTTTTTAGCACTTGTATAAACTGTTTTTGCAGAACCAGAGTGCTGTGAAATCAAAATCACCATCCTGGTAAAAGAATGTAGACAATTTTACAACGCAATGTGAGCAATGTTTCAATAAACTTGGTTATGGATCAAGGCTATACACAGTTCATTGCAACATGTAGAAGCCTACAACAGAAATTTGTCTTCTATTGACTGCTTGCTAGGTAACAATGTAAGTAGCATCAGAAACACATTAAATGAGCATAGGAACAGAAGTAAGCATCTGCATTAAAAAGGGTAATTATTCATCACTTAGATATTCATTCACACTGATAAAAGATTCAGGAGAATGAGTTTTTCTTGTTTATTCACACCTCATGAACACAGGTGTGAATGAGGTAAAATAAAATAAAAATAAAACATAATTGAAGACTAGCAGAGGAGATGAAGACGGTATCACAAAAATTTGCATGCAAATGAAAAAAAAGCCCCAGGAAGATAATTGAATGGATCCAGTATGATGATGGGAATCGAGCAATGACACAGAAGCAAATGTCCGCACAGAAGCGGACGGAAGCAGAGCATCAGAAGCGCTAGTGGCTATGGACTAGAGCAGTGATGAGAGGCTGTACTCCCAGGGAGCTCTCCAAGCCTCGCTCCAACAGGGAGGAAAGAGATCTACTTACAAACCAGCTTTAGTAATGTGCTAATGAAATGTAGCTTGAGTCCAGTGGGCCCAGCAAATGAATGCAAATTTGGGTGGAGAACAGATGACCAACAATAAACATTTATTAAAGAAGCAGATCCCTAAGACATACCCACTGCATGGGGTGCTGAGAGTACCGTGTTCGGTGTCACTGATCACTGGGTCTAAGCACGCTCCCCAGTACTACTGTTTTCAGTGTTACGTCTCTCTTGGTGTAGGCAGTTCGTGAATCACTCAATGAACAATGCTAATATATGACACCACAAATATTTCTGTTTCAGTTGTCCTATATTTTTCTTCCAATTTATGCTAAAATCTTCCATCCACAGTTCTTTAAACACAGACACAGGGGCCTGTACTTCAACCATATATTTAGTATGGCTGATAAGAAAGAGATAAGAACTCCCTTAAACTTCCTGAGATACGTAAAAAGAAATACTACAACACTAGTATCTGCTTCGCAAAGCTTGATTTATGAATAGAAACATAAGTCAATCACACTTCATCCTCAACTCCCATCCTCTGTATCAGGAGAGCCTGTTCAGCCAAACATACTTCTGGGCTTCCCCTTCCAAATCTAGGTTCAACCTCCTCCATTAGACAAGTGTGAAGCAAGAGCTAATGCCAACTTAGATCAAATCTTTTAATGAATGAGGATTTTTTATGCAATAATGAAACATTTCACATAGGTCTAAAAGACCAATGGATATGGTTTCCCACATTCAGAAGGAAAGAGCAGGGGAAGGTACAGCCCCTCTGTAAAGACAGAAGGCTTCCAAGTGAAGTACAAAGATCTTTACAATGCATCCACCAGAGGGTGTGGAGGGGTGGGGATGTGCTTAATGTTGCACATGACCAATTTTGGATGATTCTGGAACGGAACATTTAAACTCATTGCTTTGTTTCTGCAGCAGCAACTCACATTCAAAAGAACATACCCATAAAAATGCGCCCTGCCTCATTTCACCTTAAGCATAAGAGATCTTTTTAACTCTTTTTGTTCTCTTGTAGTTGTGCATGAAACTATTTTCATCCTGAAAATAGTTCTCTTTTGTCACGAACCCAAAAATCGATCTCACTTTATTAAGTATCTGATTGCAGTTCATTTGCCTAAGCTTTTGTTTCCATTGTAAAACAATTACACTATGCATATATATTTTTAGTGCATTAAGGTAATTCATCAGTATTACTAGTACAATCTTGATTAGGTCTCTGCATTGTTGCAGCAGATGGCACATAAATAATTTCTTATACTACAGTTTACATATTCTAACACTAGCATGTCTTAAGAGACCAGACAGGGGAAGAGATAAGTGACAACTGAAATGAAGATTAGAGATCACTACTTGTGGTAAAACAGGAGACTATGAAACTAATAAATAATTCAACAGGAAAAACATTATTACACAGGTTAAAACCACGGTACTTATTTCTCTATCTGGAATGCACCTGAAGGCATCATATAGTTAAATGATCTAAGCAAATCACAAATCTTCATGTGGCTGTTGTATGATTTATGGTATTGCTAGCAACAACAAAAGGAAAACTTTAGCACCAGGTTTTGGAATTTGTAAGCTAAAAGTAGTAAACAAGAGAAAATGAAGAAATAGCCTGAAGTATACTGAAAGTTAAATGGAATCTAGGAGGCCTAACAGAAGAAAAAGTCAGAAACAGTCTGTACTGCATTCAGCTTCTAATCTAAGACTCACCTCCATCCAGCCTTGTCCATGTGGAGAGCAAGAACCTTAGTCCATTATTACGGATTCATTATTTTTCAGCATTTGCAACCTATCTCTACACAATAGAATTAAAAAAAAAAAAGAAAAACCAAACCAAAACCAAAAAAAACCCCAACCCATAATATGATAATGGAAACCTTATTGGAGGAAAATACAGAACTCTGCCGCTTGTTATTCACTAGCATCCTGGTAAATTATGAACCTTCAGATTAGCATGGCTTCAGATTATTAGCTATTTGCATCAGTGTCCTTCATAGTTAGCAAAAAAACCAAATGTGTTATCCTTGAAATCCCCCAGAGGAAACTGTCAAAGCTATTCTTCAGAAGAAAAACAGTGCTTCTAAAGAAAAAAAAAAATCATCATAACAGTCTTCAAGAATCCATAACTTCAGGAGGCACATTCAATTTTTTTTTCTGCATGACTACATGGTCCTTTAAAGGGAAGAATACCAAAGTTTTTATAGGGAAACAATTATGGTAAAAATTTGAAGTACATTTGAAAACTATGAACCTTTTGCAGCTTTCACTTAAGCTAAAACAAAAGGCACAACACTCTCAACTTTAATATGCCCTGTACTCCCAGAAACTGGGAGTTGCTCAAGGCAATAAAGCATAGTAGTAACTAGCAACAGAACTGTTAAGGTAGTTTTTCAGCACAGTTTGTTATACCAGCAAACTGTCAGTGCCTCCCATTAGATCCTAAACACAAGCCAATTTTAGTGTAAAACCACTGTCAACAGCAGTGATGCTATTATGGCTCTCATA